TTGCTGCCTCAAAAGTCCACATATTAACAGCAATATCCCCTCAGGATGCTATATATCATTGAAAATCATGGAATACTCTGGTCTTGTAAGAATCAAAACCGTTGATGACCCAAAGGGCATAGAAGGATACATATATTGTAGGTAAGTGTCTATGTATGTTGATATCTATCATCCATGATATGTGCTAAAAGTTCTATAAAAAACATCATAAGGAAATATAGGTTGTCCCTCATGTCTCTACAGTTTTTAGCACTAAAACTTTTGGAATGCCTTATAAATAGCTAGAAAAGGCATTGACTCACTCATACAGTGAGGGCAAGAGACAGTAAGTAGACAATCTGAGTGGTACAATAGTTTCCTAGAGATCTTAATATAACAAGAAGAAAGCCACCAAGGGGTTAGGTACATTTTCTATGGTGAATGTGAATGAGCTGTAGAAGGTTCCTGATCTGCTTTAGTTAAAGAAAAAGCAATGCCAGTAACTTCACGAGGGTCTAATTATTTATTGGGCACACAGTACTATCATAGGTAATTTTAGGATTTGGCAATTGTAGAGTAAGAATGAGCACAATTTAACATGTTTGGATATTTTCCAGTCTTTACCATTATACATAAACATGAAATAGCTTATTAAACATTGCATAGTAACTCAGAGACAGAACTCTAACTTAAACCCTAACATCTTTCAAACTTCTTGAGAATTACACACATACACACACACGTGTGTGTGTGTGTGTATGGAATCTATCTAATAAAGGCCTAAATGGTCTGTTACTTAAATGTAATTGCAGTTAAACTATAGTGGGAGGGGACTTAGTTAGATAACATGTGTGTTTACTCATATTTATTTTGGTGAACTTACTCATTTTTTAAAATTTTATTAAATCAACATGTATTTATTGATCATCTACTATGGAGCATGGCCTCAGTGCAGAAGATGATAATGAATTCCTATAGCAATTACTGTCTTAAAATTTATTTGGCAATTAATCACGCTCTCTGTTGTGACATGTCTTCTATTGTCTGAGACTGTTATTTAAAATTTTCATTGTTATTTACCTTTACATCTTTATACATTGCCTCCTCATGGCCCTGAGGAAAGGGACCAAATTATGTCTTTTGAATCCCATTTTAGGACACTGCTTTGTATATTGTGGGTGTTCAATAAATAGTAGTTAGTCTTATTAATGAGAAACAAATAAAAATTACAATCATTCTTAATTTCAAATAAAGACATATTGTATAGTTAAAACAGTTAAATAAGAATGAAGTCCACAACTTTTTCTAGTGCACTATATTGTCTTTCACTGATAATGTTGTTACAGTAGTTCTTTAAAAATAAGAGTAAAATGTGATTGCAATACTGGATGTTCTCCTCCCTCAGTGTCCCAGAAAACCATACGTTATAACAAAGAATAAAAAAGAGAAAAAATTTTTTAACAAAACCAACCAACATCAAATAAAATCCAACTTTTTCTTTAGCCTTCTAAAGGAGTACCATTGATAGAACTAAGCCTCCTTTAGAGGCAAAGGAGAATGAGTAGATTGTTAGGAACTGGAACTACAGTCATATTTTTATTAGAATGAGCTAAATTTGAGGGTCATCTGAAATGTGGATATTTGAATTCATTAGATAAATCAATAGATCAGTCCAATGACTGAAACAACCTATAAACATATAAATAGATATTACATATATATTCATATACACATACATATATGCATAAAAGGATAAAGACACATATACAGATATGAGATAAACAGAGAGACAGAAAGGGAGACAATAAGAGAAAGAACATGAACATAGAAGGCCAAAGACTGAACTTTGAAGATAGCCCATGATCAATTATTGGGAAGTGGAAAAGATGCTTGGCTGAGTACACAGAGGATTATAATAAGAATAATCTGGATAAAGTTAGTAAGATATATGGAAGCTGAGGGAAGAGCTTAAAAATGGAAAATGATAGAAATTCTTTATGGAAACCAAGGAGAATGAGGTCATATAGGTCATTGAAATTGGCAAGAATGATGTAGAGACTTTTAAGAGTTCAATTTTAGTAGACGGATGAGGTTAGAGCTAAGAGGTCAGATTTAAGGGGTCAAGGAGGGAATGAATTAGTAAGCAAAAGGAGAATTCAGGTATAATCACTCATTTGAAAAGTCATACAGTGAAAGGAAGGTAAGAAGTAGGGAAGTACTATATTTGACAACAAGGTAAAAAAAAAGATTTTTTTTTTCCCCCTCAAGATGTAGAAGCATTTAAATCTTTGGATGTAGAGGGGGAAGAAGATATAGAAAAGACTCAAGAACTGAAGATGCTACAGAGATGACAAAAATAAATACTGAAATATCACCCTAGTTTAAGGAATGGAATCTAAATCACAAGTAGAGAGTTACTCACCAGGAATGGCCACGTCTTCTAGGTTTTATGTAACTGAACAAATTGCTACCCATTAACTGTGTTTAGGATTCCAAATATAATGAAATATGACATATCCTCAACTTTTCAACTATTTCAGGAAGAGGAAATTGCAATTTTCTCACTTTTATAAAAAACAATTTTTTGTTTATGTGTTTTATATATCACCTACAATTCCCAATTTATCCTTCCTCCTTCAGTGTCCCCGAGATCCATGTGTTATAACAAAGAATTAAAAAAAGAAAAAGAAAGATTGGTAAAAACATAACAATACATCCAAAAAACTGAACATTTTCTATAGTCTTCCACAAACAGAGTCCTTAAATAAAGGAGGAAGGAGCCTTCTCATATCGCTACTTTGGAGCCACACTTGATCACTGTAATGTTACAGCATTTAGTTTCCATTAGTTTGTTGTCATTATTCCTTTCACTGACAATGTTGTAAGTTCTGCTTAATTTGCTTTGCGTTTAAGTATTTCCACATTTCTCTGTATCATCATAGTCATTATTTCTTATGGCACAGTAATTTATAGTCATCTACTACAGCTTGTTTAGCCATTTTCCAACCAAAGATAATCCATTGATGTTCCCTGCTACTACAAAAAGTGTGACTATAAATTTTTTGGTGTTTATGGGAATTTCTTTTCATCACTGATGTCCTTGGAGTAGATATAGCCATAGCAGTAGAATCTCAAGGTAAAAAGCTATTGACCCTCTAGTCATTTTCTTTGCATGGTTCTAAATTTGTTTTCCAGAGTGGTTGGAACAATTCACAACTCCACAAGCAGTGCATTGATATGTCATTTTTCCACAGTTCCTAAAATACTGATTATTACCACCTTACATTATCTTTGACATTTTTCTTTCTGAGTGTGAGGTGAAACTTCAGATATGTTATTTTAATTCACTTACTAATGAGAATTTGGAGCACTCTTTCAGATGATTATTAATAGTTTACAACTCTTTTTTTGAAGAACTGTTTTCCTTCCACATATCTATTGGAAATGGCTTTTGTTTATATATATTTTACTAGTTATTGGATATAAGACCCTTATCAGAGATATTTGACATGAAAATTGCTTCCTTGTTAATCACTTCAATTCTCATCCTAATTTAATTTTGTTCATTCAAAAGCATTTATAATTCATGCAATTCGAGTTCTCTCTCTCACACTTTTTAAAATAATCTCCTTTATCCTTTGTTTGGTTGTGAATTAACCCCTTAGGCTGAGCCAGACACACTGGCTCATTGTTAGTAGATCCAGGAATCAGTCAAGTCTTCTGGAAAATAATTTGGAAATACATTCCAAAAGTCACCAAACTGTGCATACCCTTTGATGCAGACTGTATGCCCCAACATGATAAGAGAAAGAAGGAAAAGATTCATATGTATAAAAATATTAGAATTTTTTCTTATAAAGAATAACCGGAAACTGTGTAGGTACCCATCAATTGGGGAATGATTAGGTATGTAATATACTATTTGTGCATCATAAAAAGATCAAATTTATGATTTCAGAAAAGCCTAGGAAGACTTGTATGAATTAATGTAGGGTAAAGTTGGCAGAAAATAGGAAAGTTAGCAGGCAAAGTATATATATAGTAAGAACAATATCAGAAACATCTTGGAAAGACTTAAGAAATTCAATGCCACAACTCCAGTGGCCCAATGATAAAGCATGCTGACAAATCCTATAAAAAAGTGTAATGAGTCCACGATGCAGAGTGAGAAATACATTTTTGGACATGACAAGTGTGGATTTATTTTGGTTATTCATTGCAAGGGTTTGATTATCTATCCCTTAATTTTTTTCTTGGGGGAGGGGTGTGCATGTGCGGGATTTTTGCTGAAAGAAAGAGGTAGCAATAATGGCACAAAAAAAAGAAGCTTCTAATAGGCAGTGAGGAGGAGTTGGAGAGTGATTTTTGGCATAGAGCAGAATATCTGAAAGAGCACAAAAGGGGGAGATATAGTGCTGGGTTCGAGGAAGAGTAAGTAGGCTGGTTTGGCTCTTATGAAGAAAACAAAAAAAATTAACTTGGAAGTTTAAGTGGAGGCAGATTATAAAAGATTTTAAATGCTGAGGTTCATTTTGCTCGGGTATTTAAAACTTTGTAAACATTAAATCATAATATAAATGATAGCTCTACCTATTCTTCCTCCTCCACTATCTCCTCCTCCTCCTCCTCCTCCTTCACCTCCTCATCTCTTTCTCTTCCTTCTCTTCTTCTTCCTCCTCTTTCTCCTCTTACTATTTCAGTTTGAAATATGGTGGCCATGATCAGGTCGAAAACAAAAGAGTTTATTAAGATAAGTTACTATAAAGTAAAACAATTTTGTTTTTTCACTTAGACACATCACTACCAATGAATGATGCTGGCTGCTATCTTTCTACCAGTTGCCATTTAAAGTCAATAATTAAATGCCATTCTTCAGGTTTTTCTGTTTCATTGCCTGACTTCCACAGTAAGGAAAGGAAATTAATATCAAACTGAAAAACAACTCCCTGAAAGCTGGAACCTCTTGCAGAACTAAAATAACAGACAGCCATGTTACACATTACAACCATTTATCACTGTACCTGTAGGATCGCTTAGCACTGAGCCAAATGCACTGATTACCACGTCTGCTTTCAGCTGGACCACCTGATCTTCATCTTCATTCCAGTTTCCGGTTTCATCTTGCTCTGTCCGAACAAACTGCATACCAACAATTCGTCCACCTTTTACTATGACCTTTCTCGGGGAAAGGAAAGGCAAAAATTCACATTTTTCTTCCTTAGCAAGCTCCATCTAAGACAAAACAGAAAAACTGAAATTAAAGAAAAAAGGTTTTCTCCAAAAGAGCATTTAATCTATCTTCTAATCACATGTCTAACTTAACTTTGTATAAAAGACTACACAATTTAAATATGCATAAGACTTTTATTTTCCCTCACACCTGAAGATGAATATATTATATGTTTCTTAAGAGTCAGTTATAAAGAATTTACGTATTGGTAAATGGCTAGAAAGATGCATCAGTCAGTCAGAAGGAATTGGAGTTATACTGGTATTTAAGGAACAGAATTCACAAGACGGGCTCCTGTTCTTCTTTCTCTGAAGATTCACTTCAACTCTTTTATCATGCTCAAAATGAAAATTTTGAAAAATTTAGAAAAAAACAGTCTACCAGCAGGCTAATTTATCTTTGCTGGGAAAAGTCGATATGATTGGAGGAGCCAAACAGTGAATGATCAGAAGAGTAGATAGGCTCGTGAGTAATAACATCCACAGGCCGGTGAAAATGGATTCTTACATCCTCAGTGAATGGGCCCCATGCTATTTGTCCTCCACACTTCCCCCAGCCCCCCCTTTTTCGTAAAACAGTTCACAAAACAGAATTCTCTTAATAAAAATATGAAAAAGTACAAAAAATTACCACATTGGCTTAACTAATTTTCATATTATAAATCCAGAAAATTTTTCCAACTATATTTTTTTTTTCACAAAAGGGAAGGGGTTTTGCACATAGAGAAACTGAACTATATGTTACTTATCTAAGAGAAGATGCATTCAGGAAAATATCTAAACCAGTGTCCTATCCATCGGGCCTAAATTGGATAGTGCGACACTGCCTGTTGTAATGACATTCACACATTTGTTCCTCATTAATAGCTAATATTTATATTGCACGTTAAGGTTGCAAAACGCTCCCTATATTTCTTTATTTGATCATTAAATATTATTGAATGATTGATCTCATTATTACTACCTCTAAACTTGGATTCTTTCTTCTTAAGTTACAGAATACTTGTAAAAGAAAGTTTATTTCTGCATGCATGAAACCATTGTCAAATACCTGGAACATTTTATGTATTAAAACATGACTAACTATAAGCATCTGGTGGAACAATTAACATACATAGCAGTTTCCTATTTATTTTTTTAACAAATAGCATTAACAGAAATTCTTAACATCTAAGAATATGTGTGAAGAATGAAGAAGTAGAATGGTATTATATCACCAGATCGAATCCATGCTTTTGTGGATTCACTCTCCTCTTGATAATTTCACTGCAACGACTCAGAGATACTTGTCAATGAGACTGCAATTTCAGTGGAAAGGCTTCCCAAATGGAGGAAAGGGAGCCTAAAAAATCTCTACAGATTCTTTTTTTTTTCCTTTACAGCATAAGATATTATTGTTTTTGGAGGGGCCAAATAACTCAAACATTTCTAATGATATAATAAATGTGGTTCAATGAATATATGTTCCCTATATCTTTGTGTGTTGCTTTTGTCACATTTGGATAATGCAACACCTTGCAACTCATCAATATAATCCTGCTTTACTGTGTTTCAAAAATGTCACCCGATACTAAATTTTAATGATAATGCCACACTTGATTGAACAACAATGTCAAATGTTTATAGTTTGAATAAATCAATATATAACTCTTATTTATAACAGCACTGTTTTCACTTGTGAATAGAAATAAAATATCACGATAATGTAGCACATAGTTGAAATATCTCTCATGGTCAAATTTAGGTTCTCCTTTTCTTGCCTATTTATAATAAGTACAAAATTTTTTGCTTCTTAACAAATTTCACCATTAAATTCAGAGATGAGAAATCCTCAGTCAGGCACTTAAAACCCTATAGAGTCTAGCTTTCCTTTATCTTGCCAAGTTTATTTTGCATTTCTCCCCTTTACATTTCCTCTGTTCTGACCAAATTGAACCATTCTGAATTGCTCTTACATGACATTCCATTGCCTTCCTTCTATCCTTTGCTGAAATGATCTCACGGATCTAAAATGTCCTCTGACTTTGCCACAGATTCAACACATTCCTAGCTCACGTTAAAGCAAAGCTCGAGGACCACTCATTAGGCCTTTCTTGATGATCTCAGTTATTAATGCTTTCTTCCTTTCAGGAGTATTTCATGAATATTTGGTATTTACTTATCCCTTTATGTGTTGCAACCCACTAAAAGAGAGCTGAGCCAGAAAGATTTGAGTTCAAACCCTGCTTCTGACACTATCTAGCTCTGTGACTCTAAGCAAGTTGCTTAACCACTATCTTCCTCAGTTTCCTCATCTGTAAAATGGGGGTAATAATAACACCAACCTCTCAAGGCTGTGGTGAGGATGAAATGAGATAAAATTTGTAAAGTGCTTTGCAAATCTTAAAGCATTAGTAAATAATGGCTATTATCATAACTAAAAAAACAAAAACACATAGTTTCATTTCTGTCTTTATACGATCAGAATGAGCTCAGTGTCTTGCACAAAGTACATGTTTAATAAACCTTGTTGAATTAATTTGCATTAGATAACCACTGAAGGACTGCTGTTTGTATGTATCAACATTGGCTAATCTGTATTGTTTCATGACCAGCTGCCAACCCTTATATATTTTAAAGTGCTCAAAGAATTACGTGCAACTATCCTGTTAGGTAGGTATTACAAAAATTATTACCTCCATTTTACACAAAAATAAACTGAAACTTAGAAAAAAATAGTGATTTGGTCAAAGTAACATAGCTGGTGTCAGAGGGGGAAGGGAAAAGGAAGGGGACCGAATAAGCATTTGTATAGTGTCTATTATGTGCCAGGCACTGTGTTAAACAATTTTTACAAATATGATGTCATCTGAAAGGGATAATTAGAAACAAGTTTTCAAAGCTTAACTCAAACCCAGAGCTTAGCACAGTGCCTGGCACATAGTAGGCTCATAATAAATGTTTGTTAATTGAATGATCCCAAATACCTTCACCACGCTGCCTTAACTCAGACATCCCTAGTCCTAGCTTTATGATCCTATGAATTTGTCTTATTTTTAAGTTCCTCAATGCATATATACCTGAATATACAATTAAAGTCAAACTGCCTTCTTTGTGTTGTAAATTTTCCATATTCAGAGTCATTGATGGTCTTACTATCAGCAAACCTTATATCTCAAGAATGAGAATATTAGCTTTCAAATAATTGAACATTTTCAGTTATTATCTGGCAATGCATAGAGGTTAGGCTCAGAGGACGCTGGCTACTCACAGAGATTACTCCGCATGCCTGCTGGAGTAATTCCAGTGATATTATGCTCTAATGCATATAGGATACTGCTACTGGATGAGAAAGACATAAATCATGCCAGGTCTTGCTCTTTTGTGGTGAAGTAGCTAGGATTTGATTTATCTAGAGAAAAAAACATTTTTAAGTAGGCATAGGAAAATGTAATTTTGAAGGTATATGTTTACTTGGGAAGGAGTGATATTACATGGGAAAAAGGCAAAGAAAGATCAGAAGATAAGAAAGGAGCTTGAGAAACAGAGAAGTGATTGGGAAAATGAAGATAGAAAAAAATGAACAGTCATTGAAAGCATATGACCACTGAAATGTCTTGAAAATGCTTTTGAAAAAAAGATGACTGAATATTCTTTAGTCATCTGAGGAACTTTTCTAAGGAAGGGCAATAGAAACTATGACAAGAGAACAAACAGAGTAGGTATGAGAGAGAGAAAGAAAGCATGGAGCCTTATCTCATTTGCCTTTCCCTCATGTGTGTAAAAAGAGGAAAAAAAATCCAAGAAAATATTCTTACCAGGGACTAGCAAAATCTGGGCGTACATGTTCTTTCATTGGTTGATTGCTACCATCAATAAGTACAATAAAAATTAAAAAGAAAATATTTATACTGTCTTGTCCAAAGCTTTGTTACATCTCTAAACGTTTCACTCTATGCAGACCTCTTTGCTGAACTTCAATCAAAATGGGAACTCGAAAATCTTGAGAAAATGCCAACGAGTTGTTGTCTCGATAGGGTTACCATGAAAGGAACATTTATAAACCTTAAGATTATTTTCTTATCAGATATTTCAACACTCATGCCTATGATGGCAAAGGCTATAATCAAATGTCTCAAAAAGACAAACAATGGAAAGAACAAGGCAAGAAGATTTGTTCATTTCAAGCCCAAACTGGAGGAAACTATGTTCAATATTGGTTCAGACCTGTATTAGGTATACCTTTATCACTTACCATGCAAGGATTTTGTGAGGCTCAAATGATATAAAACATGTAAAGTGCTTTTCTAACAAGCTAGATAAATACTGCTATTATTATTTCCTTGTTTTGCTCTATGGAATTCAGATAGAAATTGCCCCATATTAAGTCTATCTTGCTATTAGTCTTTTCTATTTCATGTCTTACAGAATACTACATATTTAGATAATAAGTTCATGTTCTCTAGGTTCACTGGAAGTATCCCAGGACAACTGCAATAGCAGATAGGATTATGGAGATGATATTCAGATGACTTAAATTTTTTAATTAGATATGTATATATTACAAAACTTTTCTTTCCACATGATTTAGAGATTGCATGAATTGTATTATACTATAGAAACATCTATTTAGAAAGTTATTCTTAAATTATTTTGATGAATGTCATATCCAGTTGATTGTGGGGAACATTTTTTTTCTGTGCTAATGCTCCAGCTGCAGTATAATTTATTTGTTGATGTCTTTGAGAGGAGTGTCCTGTATTTGTAAAAGAGAGATTTATGCCTTTTAATTTATGAGAATAATTTCTGGCATACAATTCTGGACATCAGATTGTGTCTTTCTAACTATTCTGTAGGTGATAAATTGTTACAATCTACAATGCTATGTGGCATTGTTTCTGTGGTTTCCTTGCATGATTTGTATTGGTCAATATGGCTTGGATTCTTTAAGGATAACCTTTCTGCAATATGTATTGGCAAGTACCTGGCTCTATATTGCTATCATAAATCTCTTCACTTGTGTA